TGCCCCGGATATCCCATGGACAGAGGCGCCTGGCGGGCTACAGTCCATAGGGTCACAAAGAGTCAGACCCAACTGAGCACACAAATTCTTTTCAGCCTTCAACACAAGTAAGGTAAAGAAAGGTGAGGAGGGAGGGAAAATACACTTTCCCCACTCCAGCAAGGAGGTATGCAAGTTCCTGCTGCACATCATATCCCCTGCCCACTTGGCCAAACATCTTCCTCTCTAATTCCTACTTGAGTGTTCTACCTAACCCGCCGTTGAATGAGAAAAGGTCAGAATACAAAGATACTAGGGACAGAGTTTTCACAGTGAGATTTTGCATCAGAAGAGTCAGAAGCTGATCCAGGAGTCACCAGGCCTCCTCTGCACCTCCCTCTGCAGCATCCTGTAGTGATGCCTGTCCCTGTGCCCACATTCCGCGAAAAGTATCTGTGCGGGTCTCTCGCCTACATTAAACTCTCAAGATAAAGCTCTATCTTAATTTCCTTATAACCCCAGGACTTACATCCTGCTGACGCACAGCAGGCTTCCTTTGAGTGTTCGCTGAATAAATGAATATTGTCTAGTTTTTCGTTCTTTGGATAACAGGTTCAACAAAGTAGTGAATGGATATAGGGAATAGCCAACCCACTGCAGTATTCTTGCCTGGAGAATTCCATGGACAAAGGAGCCTGGTGGGCTACAGTCCATGGAGTCGCAAAGAGTCTGATACGACTGAGCACATGTATGCACACACAACATAATCACACATAGGTCACACTTTTTGTAGTTAATGAAAAACTATAGGAGGATATACTGATTTTCCTAATTAGGCAAACCCAAATAATAAAAAATATTAATCATCAGTGATCAAACATGTATATATGTACTATATATGCTAGCATTTATATCTAACTGAATATATAAGATAGATGTGACTATCTACAGAAGAAGAGAGGGCATTTAAAGAAATTGCCCACTAGTGAGTGATACAACTGGGGTTTAAACCTAGTTCTATTTAAATCCAAAATCCATATTTTACCCATTTAATACTGTGTATAGGAAGATGTGCTAAAGAAAGGAAAAGTATCCACTTCTTCATTTCTTTAAAATGAAAAATGGTCTTACATAATTGGTATTGCAAAGGCAACAATAAACATTTGGAAAATGCACAGTGAGTTGTGCAGCCATGACTTCCACAGGGATGAAATCAATTTGAAAAATGCCAAAAGTTGTATGATGAGTTTCATTTGGAAGTTCCAAGTGTATTGTAGGGAATGTTTTTATTAATTCTAGGTTTTAATTGTGATAGCAAAGTTGTGACCATTGTTCTCAATTTCTTCCTCAGAGCCTAATTCTTCTAAAAAGGAGTAAGTGAAGGGGAGTTAATAACCATTAGTAGGTACCTCCCATGTGCCTGACATTATGCCAAGGCACTTTCATGTCATCTCTTCATGTTATCTCTCTCAATCCTCACAAAAACTGGAATTATAATCATTATTTTACAGATAAGTAATGAAAAAAATCAGAAAAATTTAGTAACATGCTCAGTATTATGGACAAAAGAAGTGTCACAGCCAGGTCCAAACCCAAACTTATTTAAATGCAAAGCCTTTGTTCCTTTTGCTAAACTGCATGGAAGTATTATTCTAAATGCCAAGTTAGACTAAGCCTTTAACAATGTCCAGGAGTAATAGATTCTTGCACAATATATAATGAATAAATATTCACTGACTTCTGTGTCCTTAAAAATATGCTGTGGATCGTGCTAGAAGAGTTGCTGAGGAGTTGGCTTATGTGTACACCTCCAAGTTGGATTGTATACAGGCCCACACTGTTATACAAACTGGAGATTTACATGAATTGTTTTCCTACTCTACTTCCCATTTGTTTACAAACAGCCACCTACGACAAATTCATTCACTCCAGGCCTCTAACTGAATTTGGGCTGGTATAACTAGATTATATGAACCCATTCACTGGCTCACCCATCTTTCTGATTTCTTCAGTAGAAAGCTAGTGCTCCTCATGGACTGTTTTTTATATTCCCGTCAGCTGGAAAAATTTGGTAAAACTTATAGTGCTCCCCTCATTAGTCAAGCTGCCATTTACCCTGGGAGGCAGCATGATTTTGTGTTAGAAAGTTCACTGGCCTGGGTTCTAATCCTGCTCCACACTCCTCACCATGTGATCTTTGGCCAGTTACTTACTTCCTCTGTGGATCAGTTCCTCAGATTCAGGAGAGAAAATAACACCACCATCTAATACAGATGTTGAGAGGATTAACAGAGATAATTAACATATGCAAACCACTGAGAGTAACAAGCATGTTTCCATTTCTTTGTGAAGATCTGTCATAGTCAATGGCATAGCTAAGAGTTCCATTGAAGACTTGGAATATGCATGCTCTTGCTTCTCCAGAAATCACTGAAGTTAGCCAGGGATATTTCAGCAAGTGTCCCCATGACTGAATGTCACTTCACAGTGAGCTGGTGTGAGGCTGACTGCCTAACGCAGGCAGTTGGAGGAAGGAAGGAAGGAAAGAAGGAATCAAAGAGTCTGGTTAGCCACCATTCTTCCCATAATTACTCCAAACAACAAACTCTCTGTGCAGACTCTACAGTAGGGCTCCCCAGTCTTTTAAAAGAAGGGCTTTATTTTCACTTCTATGAAGTATTGAAATCATCAAGAGGAGGGGAAGCCAACTCTAAAACACCTCAGTGGGGCTGGGGAAGGAGTGCTTCCACTGGCTGAGTTTTATTTCCAAACTGAAAACATTAATATCCACTGAAGCCTGAAAACTCTCTTACAGCTAATTAAGCTTATCTTTGGTAATACCTGTTCTAAGGAAGGCTGCTTGATGACTTTAAAGAGAGCTGGTTCTAAGAAAGGAAATGAAATGCTACTGCTTACTGAGCATTGATGATTTTCACATATATAATTGCATTTAATACTCCGACAGCCCCACAGTTTTGAGGAAAATGATGCTCAGAGTTTAGTAATTTGCAGGGGTGATTTCTCTATCAGTAGCAGTGCCAGAATTTGAACTCAGGATGTTGAAAATCTGCAATTAATTATTAGTAAGGGGCCATTTAATTTTTCTAATAAATACTTGTTGGGGTCTTTTAAATTCATCTTCAGCTAGTTTCAGAGATGAGATTTTAATCTCTAATAATTATTTTCAAAATTTGGCAGTCATCTACCCCTTAGCAAGTCTCTCATAAGTTATTGAATTTATATCTTTCGCCAGACTAATGCAACACAGCCAACAAGCTACTGTTACTGAGGTATCGTCCAAAGAGTGTCTCCAGTGGTCTGACAAAATATATGGAGTGGTCAGAACATCATCATCTTCCAAATAAACTGCTCTAACTTTTCCATTTGGATACAGATGAGATGTCCACTATGTCCTAAAGGAACTACTTATGGGTAGATCAGAGTTTGGATCATAAAGCAGGCTGAGCACTGAAAATTTGATGTTGTTGAATTATGGCACTGGAGAAGACTCATGAGAGTCCATGGACTGCAAGGAGATCAAACCAGTCAGTCCTAAAGGAAATCAACTCTGAATATTCATTGGAAGGACTATTGCTGAAGCTGAAGCTCCAATACTTTGGCCACCTGACACAAAGAATGGACTCGTTGGAAAAGATCCTGAAACTGGGAAAGATTGAAGGTAAAGGGAGAAGAGGGTGGAACAGGATGAGATGGTTGGATAGCAGCACCAACAGAAAGGAGAGGAATTTGAGCAAACTCCAGGATACCATGAAGGGCAGAGGAGCCTGAAGTGCTGCAGTCCATGAGGTCACAAAGAATTGGGAACAACTTAAAGACTGAACAACAAAATGCGATCTACCAGGAAGAGCCCTGGTTCTTGCTTTGATATCTAGGTGAGACCTATCTAGACTGCTCTCATCATCTCTGAATTTTCTTTTCCTCACTTTGAAAAAATAGGATAGGGGACAACAGTGAGAAGGTGCATAGAAAAGTAATAATGCTGACCCTATCTATCTCATCATGTGGTTATAAGGATCAAATAAAGTCATAAATGAGAAATTTGTATAAGGAATATATATATATATGTATATATGTGACATATAGCCATTTGTATATCTAGAATTAAAGATTCCCCTCAGAAATGGACTTAGAAAGTGACTTTGGTAAGCTGGTAACATAGTCTTGAATGCAATACAAAGAATTATGTAGCTTCTTGCCCATCTGGAAAGCCTGCCCACATCAAGTGTACAATGGGGCTTTCAGCAACCTTAAGAAAACAGACTGGGGCTGAAACATACTGCTCCTGCTTTCATTGGGGGAATATAAATCAAAGGGGATACTTCACTCTTTAATCACAAGTTATTTCCTCTTCAGGGCTGTTAAGAGTGCGCTTAACTAACCACTTTCACACAGGCTGAGAAAAGCAGTGTAGACAAACCAGATAAGCTTTATGTTGCCCTTTTGTCCAATTCCTTGAAAACTAATATTGTAACTCAGAAAGGCCAGAAAGCACTACGTGGAGTGTGTGCTCATGCATACACATGCAGACACACACACACACACACACACACACACACACTCACCCCAACAACCTTGATCTATTATTGTTTAGCCATTCTTTTTAATTCTTAGTTGATATGCTATTGCATTAATACTCTCATCTTTGAGTTACCTAATTTACTCACCTCTAAATTTTTGCAAATATAAAAAATGTCCTTTCAAACTCAAGAAATTCATTTCTACAAGCCTGATATTCAGACAACCAACACCCAGAGAAGCAAGTTACTCATGTCTGAGGTGCATGGAAGTCCCAAAATAGAGGCTTGACCTTCCAGGCAGCACTTGATCTTTGCACTCTCCATAAAAGAATGCCATTGAAACATTTAAGCCATTTAAATGGTTGTGGGTCCTTTTTATCTGAAAAGTGTCCTTGTTCTAATTCCTTTTGGAAAAGTCCCACAACCTCACACAGTGGCTCCAGTCATTTCTTATCCCTTATCTAGGAGCTCTGACTCACTTACCCAGGGGAATATTTTCCAGCAGGTAGAGATAGCTCTGAAAGAAGTCATTGCAAATGGCTCTGTGAAGAATAAAGGACATGCTATGTCGACAGAGTTCATCATCGGTCTTCTGCCAGCGGGATCTGAAGGCAAAGTGGGCTCCCAGGTGGGCCATGGTGAAAGGGGATAATAATTATTCCTACAGAGAGAGGAAGCTTGCCTGACAGTTTCTTTGAATTAACTTTCTCTTCCTACACGAACTTGAGACTGTCATTTTAAACCAATCCCTGTCCATCTATATCAGGAGAGGTGTCATGGGGCTTGGGGGAGGGGCAGCAGACACAGGGAGGTCAGACTCTTGGCACGTCTACTGTCTGATTGCTCGGGCGACACCACTCCTGGCCAGCAGGTGCCAAGTAAAGATGAAAACAGGCTGAGCGAGATCCTGCTTCATCCAGGGAAAAGCACACCTCCCTCCTTTAGCTGCCACTTCAAACAAGCAGGAGCACAGCCTGCTAACACCCTGAATACTTGCTTTAATTTGATTCCTAAATAGGAAGAGCCTCATTTCCATTTCAAAGAGTTGTGAATATTTTGCAGGAGATCCAGTTCCCTGATTTCCATCCCCCCTCCTGGAACGCCAAATCCTCAAGTTACAAGGACCCTTCAAAGTCATCTTAGCTACCCATGCTTCTTTCATCAGTACAGTTTTGCCCAAATCTTTTCATAGAGGTAGATGCATGTTTCCCATTTTTGAGGATCTTCAAGAGATGCAATTATATGAAAGCCTGTTCTGATATTAAATACCTTTCTCTGTCAGCAAACTCTTCCATCTAGCTTGCACTAAATAATACCTAGTCATGGAAGACTGTTTCTTCATCTTTTCCTATTAAGGATATGGTTTTCCTCATATGCACTCCATTGAAATCTGTCAGTCAGTTCAGTCACTCAATAGTGTCCGACTCTGCAACCGCATGAATTGCAGTACTCCAGGCCTCCCTGTCCATCACAAATTCCCGGAGTTCACTCAAACTCATGCCCATCGAGTTGGTGATGCCATCCAGCCATCTCATCCTCTGTCGTCCCCTTCTCCTCCTGCCCCCAGTCCCTCCCAGCATCAGGGTCTTTTCCAATGAGTCAACTCTTCGCATGAGGTGGCCAAAGTACTGGAGTTTCAGCTTCAGCATCAGTCCCTTCAATGAACACCCAAGACTGATATCCTTTAGGATGGATTGATTGGATCTCCTTGCAGTCCAAGGGACTCTCAAGAGTTTCTCCACCACCATAGTTCAAAAGCATCAACTTTTCAGCACTCAGCTTTCTTCACAGTCCAACTCTCACATCCATACATGACTACTGGAAAAACCGTGGCCTTGACCAGATGGACCTTTGTTGGCAAATAATGTCTCCGCTTTTTAATATGCTATCTAGGTTGGTCATAAATTTTCTTCTAAGGAGTAAGTGTCTTTTAAGTTCATGGCTGCAGTCACCATCTGCAGTGATTTTGGAGCCCAAAAAAATTAAGTCTGACACTGTTTCCACTGTCACCTCATCTATTTCCAATGAGGTGATGGGACCAGATGCCATGATCTTAGTTTTCTGAATGTTGAGCTTTAAGCCAACTTTTTCACTCTCCTCTTTCACTTTCATCAAGAGGCTTTTTAGTTCCTCTTCACTTTCTGCCATAAGGGTGGTGTCATCTGCATATCTGAGGTTATTGATATTTCTCCCGGCAATCTTGATTCCAGCTTGTGCTTCTTCCAGCCCAGCGTTTCTCATGATGTACTCTGCATATAAGTTAAATAAGCAGGGTGACAATATACAGCCTTGACATACTCCTTTTCCTATTTGGAACCAGTCTGTTGTTCCATGTCCAGTTCTAACTGGTGCTTCCTGACCTGCATACAGGTTTTTCAAGAGGCAGGTCAGGTGGTCTGGTATTCCCATCTCTTTCAGAATTTTCCACAGTTTATTTTGATCCCCACAGCCAAAGGCTTTGGCATAGTCAATAAAGCAGAAATAGATGTTTTTCTGGAACTCTCTTGCTTTTTTGACGATCCAGCAGATATTGGCAATTTGATCTCTGGTTCCTCTGCCTTTTCTAAAACCAGCTTGAACATCTGAAAGTTCTCAGTTCAGGTATTGCTGAAGCCTGGCTTGGAGAATTTTGAGCATTACTTTACTAACGTGTGAGATGAGTGCAATTGTGTGGTAGTTTGAGCATTCTTTGGGATTGCCTTTCTTAGGGACTGGAATGAAAACTGACCTTTTCCAGTCCTGTGGCCACTGCTGAGTTTTCCAAATTTGCTGGCATACTGAGCGTAGCACTTTCACAGCATCACCTTTCAGGTTTTGAAATAGCTCAACTGGAATTCCATCACATACACTAGCTTTGTTCATCATGATGCTTGAAATCTGTACTGGGTATCTTCTCACTGTCCTCCTAGTCTGCTCTCTGCTGTTCTCACATTACTGTGTGTGGTTGGAGAATGGGCTGTATTGACCATATTAGTGGATGTCTTGCCTTCTGGCTTCTTGTTGAGTTCTGCCAGTGGGTGGTACCAGCAAAAGGGTGGAGGAGAGTGGAGGAGGGTAGTGATTCAGTGTATTTATTCCCCTGACACCCTCCCTGTTGAGATGCCATTGGCTGACTGCTTCATAAGGTGAAAAGTCATGGCTTCTGTCTTGGGGTCTTCTCATACAAAACCCTCTCCCAGTTCTGGTAACCGCTCCTTCCTCATGCTGCTTCAGACCTCAGGAGAGTGATACACCAAGCTGTCTCAACCTCTCGGGTAATGCACTATTCCTTGTAATTTCTCTGTACCTAACTTACCACACCTTTGGAAAGAGTCACTTTATTAAGCTGGCTCAAATTCTCAATTTGTGGATGTCATATATTTCCTGTAGGGACAACTACCATTTTAACTCTCCACTACTCTTAACAGGAAAATTCATAAGAACTCTTACTCTTTTGGCCCATACCATGTGCAACCACTGACTGCCCACCATCCCTAAAACACACATACACACCCACTCACCCACATACAAATGAACACATTATGTTTGCTTTTTTTTTTTTTAGTCAATAAGTCATGTCTGATTCTTTTTGCAGCCCCAAAGATAGTAGCCCTGTAAGGTTCCTCTGTCTGTGGGACTTCCCAGGCAAGAATACTGGAGTGGGTTGCCATTTCCTTCTCCAAGGAATCTTCACAACCCAAAGATCGAACTCCCGTCTCTTTCTTTGGCAGACGGATTCTTTATCACTGAGCCACCTGGGAAGCCCACACATAGTATGCAGCTTCTAAGATGGCCCCATATATTCCCACCTTATGATTGATTTTCACATGTCTCTCTCTCTCTTCTTTCCTGGGAAAAGGATAGACTTACTGACTCACTTCTAAAGAATAAAATACAGTGGAAGCAATAGGATGTCACTTCCAAGATTAGGTTATAAAAAGACTGTCCTGGACATTTTCCTTGGCTCTCTTCCTTGCTTATTCTCAGGGAAGCCAGCTGCCTGCTGTGAGCTGCCCTAATGAGAAGCCCACGTGATAAGAAACTGCCTCAGTGCAACAGCCCAGGAAAAGCTAAATTCCACCAACAACCATGAGTGAGCTTGGAAGATCTTTCCCAGCAACCCGATAAAAAACACTGAGCCAGCTAAGCCACACTCAGGTTACTGACTCACAGAAGTGCGTGCTTCTTTGAAGCAGCCAAAATTTGGAATAATTTGTTACAATGCAGCTGTGCTGTCCTTCGTCCCTCAGTTCAGCTCAGTTCAGTTGCTCAGTCCTGTCTGGCTCTTTGAGACCCCGTGAATTGCAGCACGCCAGGCCTCCCTGTCCACCACCAACTCCCGGAGTTTACTCAAACTCATGCCCATCGAGTTGGTGATGCCATCCAGCCATCTCATCCTCTGTCGTCCCCTTCTCCTCCTGCCCCCAATCCCTCCCAGCATCAGGGTCTTTTCTAATGAGTCAACTCTTCCCATGAGGTGGCCAAAGTATTGGAGTTTCAGCTTCAGCATCAGTCCCTTCAATGAACACCCAAGACTGATATCCTTTAGGATGGATTGATTGGATCTCCTTGCAGTCCAAGGGAATCTCAAGAGTCTTCTCCACCACCACAGTTCAAAAGCATCAATTTTTCAGCACTCAGCTTTCTTCACAGTCCAACTCTCACATCCATACATGACCACTGGAAAAACGATAGTTGACTAGATGGACCTTTGTTGGCAAAGTAATGTCTCTGCTTTTTAATATACTATCTAGGTTGGTCATAACTTTCCTTCCAAGGAGTAAGTGTCTTTTAATTTCATGGCTGCAGTCACCATCTGCAGTGATTTTGGAGCCCAAAAAAATTAAGTCTGACACTGTTTCCACTGTCACCCCATCTATTTCCAATGAGGTGATGGGACCAGATGCCAGGATCTTAGTTTTCTGAATGTTAAGCTTTAAGCCAACTTTTTCACTCTCCTCTTTCACTTTCATCAAGAGGCTTTTTAGTTCCTCTTCACTTTCTGCCATAAGGGTGGTGTCATCTGCATATCTGAGGTTATTGATATTTCTCCTGGCAATCTTGATTCCAGCTTGTGCTTCTTCCAGCCCAGCGTTTCTCATGATGTACTCTGCATATAAGTTAAATAAGCAGGGTGACAATATACAGCCTTGACATACTCCTTTTCCTATTTGGAACCAGTCTGTTGTTCCATGTCCAGTTCTAACTGTTGCTTTCTGACCTGCATACAGGTTTCTCAAGAGGCAAGTCAGGTGGTCTGGTATTCCCACCTCTTTCAGAATTTTCCACAGCTTGTGGTGATCCACACAGTCGAAGGCTTTAGCATAGTCAATAAAGCAGAAATAGATGTTTTTCTGGAACTGTCTTGTTTAGTCTCTCAGTCATGTCCAACTCTTTGTGACCCCATGAACTGTAGCCCACCTGGCTCCTCTGTCCAGGCAAAAATTCTCCAGGCAAGAATACTGGAGTGGGTTGCCATTTCCTTCTCTAGGGGATCGTCCCAACCCAGGGATCAAACCCAGGTCTCCCATATTGCAGGCAGATTCTTTACTGTCTGAGCTACAGAGAAGGCCACAATGCAGCTAGTGGAGAGCTAATTCACACATTGTCAGTGGAATTCTTTTAAGATTTGGGATCTAACCATGATCTTTCTTTCAGTTTAATGTATGTGTTAATCTTTTAGTGGGAAAGGAACTAAGGATACCCTTTGTTTGACTTAGTTTTCTTCATTTCCCTGTGCTTC